GCCCCCGTTGGGATGCACATTTCGCAGTACAGCCAAAAAAAGCCCTAGGAAAGTGACAAAGTACTCCTCGCTTTGTGAAATACGTACAGAGCAGCAAGTCTAAAAATAACGTTACTAATGTGTAAGGACGCGTGCATCTGGGAGCTAAACTTTTTCGCTATCGGCTACCGCTTTGCCGTTTCGAAGCGTGGGATGCAGTTTCACTGTCCAAGTTCTTGGTTCTGACAAACACAAGTTGGTACTACTGAATTTGTATGAGAAATATTATTGTCATCGTCGCCACTGTTATTGTTTTTCTTTAAACATAGGCGTGAGCTTTGCCTCGTCTATTAATTAAAAAGTTTATTGTTACAAAAATACCCTATTGTTACAAAATGTTACTATCTCAATATTATTTTTTCTAACTTCTTAGCACCCGCTTTGGTCCAAAGCATGGCCTTCTCTTTAGGGCCTGTTTGGTTCCAATAAGTCACCTGACTTATAAGTCAGGTGACTTAAAACCAGTGACTTATAAGTCACGTCTGTTTGGTTGTCACCTGACTTATAAGTTATCTGAGCACACATTTCCATCTTGTTTTTTTATGTAAAGGTGGTGGGACCCATGCAAAAAGGGGTGACTTATAAGTTTTAAGTTGGGGTGGAGCAACTTATGACTTATAAGTTGGGGTGACTTATAAGTTGGGTCTGTTTGGCAAAATAAGTCATTTTTTTCACTTTTGAACTTATAAGTTGGTGACTTATTTGAAACCAAACAAGGCCTTAATTAAGTTTAGAAGGATTGGATGTAGCGCTCTTGTGTCGGAAGACACGGGCATTTCTCTTGTTTGAGACAGACCATGACTTTCCTATGAGGGATGTTGGCATCTGATAAATTGATCCACCAATCTTTAACAGAATTTTTCGAATGCCACAAGAAGGTATCAATGTTTTCGAGGTGTATCCAATCATTGACAAAATTTGAAAGGTAAATTGGGAAGCGGTTGTTGTGCAAAAATAGTATACAAAAATTACACTCATAACTCAGGTTTGGAACCCGCAAAAACAAACTCAGATTTGCAAACTATGCCCATGCAGATAGAGTAGATTGTTAGTTGAGGCAACATCTACAATGTGTCTGTATATCGATCTATGCTCCTGCGTGAGCTTGTGGACCTATTTATGGGCATGTAGCTTTGGTTTTTCTTCATGAACCTATTTATGGGCCTCTAATTTATAGATTCTCAAAGGACGGGAATGTGAAGGAAAAAATCAAAATCCTTCAAAAATCATGTGAATTTTTTTCAATCAATGGGGATGTTTTGCTGATATTCTTTTTTTTTTGCGAGAAAACTTCCAATCTATTCATCTTCAATCATGATAATATAACGAACGCTAGAAATAATAAAAATTACATCCAGATTTGTAAACCACCTAGCGACGACTACAAGCACTGAAACGAGCCGAAGGCGCGCCGCTGTCATCGCCCCTCCCTCGCCGGAGCCGGGCAAACCTTGTTGTAGTAGACAGTCGGGAAGTCGTCGTGCTAAGGCCCCATAGAACCAACGCACCAGAACAGCAACCGCCGCTGACGAAGAGTGTAGATCAGAAGAATCTAACCCGAAGACACGGGAACATATACGAACGACGAACAGATCCGAGCAAATCCACCAAAGACAGATCCGCCGAAGACACACCTCCACACGCCCACCGACAATGCTAGACGCATCACCGGAACGGGGGCTAGGCGGGGAGACCTTTATTCTATTTTCAGGGAGTCACCGCCGTCTCGCCTTTCTGAGTAGAACACAAACCCTAACAAAACTCGAAAAAAGATCCAAAAACGGAGCCCTCCCACCGACAAGGGCCGAGATCCACTCCGCCTCCATGGCTCTAAGGCCACCGGAGACAGGGCAGACCGGCGACGTCGCCGGCGGGAGGCAAGAGAAACCCTAACTAGCCTAAGGTATTTCGTTTTGCTGATATTCAACCGAGCCGCGGAGAGACTTCTGAGTTTCTAAAAAAAGATGAGTTGAGACTTGGGAGGTCAAAAAAATTGTAACTGTTTAAATCCTATATAGAATTAGAAAACCACGTGAAGTCGTAATTGGAGGGCCCTCTTTGTTCGCAAGATTCTCAAAATACATGAATAGAAAAAGCATATGATTAAAATGTCATGTTCTCTTAAATGCTATAGGACTAGAAAACGACATCAATTTGAACAATATGTGTATGATGCCACAGAAAAACAAAAGTTATACAAAGAGATTCGAGTGGATAGAAATTTCCGTCCAAAACTATGTGCAAATCAATCCTTAGGAATTTTCCTATCCCAGGTTTAAATCCTCCACAAATCCTATGAAAATCCTTCGAATCGTAGGTTAAATGGTTTATACGCTAAAACGTTATAGTACATTAGTGAGTAACAGATCGAACGGCATCATCCAACTAAAGACTAGGACCCTAGGAGAAAGTCGAACCACATCAACCAATATCCTCCTAGGGTCCTAGTCTTTTACGACGACTTTCTTAAGCTTCAGATGTAAAGAAGATTGATAGACCACTCAACACAAGATGTTGTTATATTCATGGAACATGATTTGGCAAAGGCTAGGAATATGAAACCGGTTTCGTGTCTTTTCGAGCAACTGTTTGGTTTGAAAATTAATTTCAACAAGAGTGAACTGTTCTTGTTTTAGGCGCACCAAGGAAGACAGTTATTTGGTTGTGAGTTGGGGTCTCTTTCATTTAGGTACATGGGAATCTCAATTCATCACCGAAAACTAACCAACAAAGAATGGAAGTGCATAGAGGATCGATTTGAGAAGAAACTAAGTTGCTAGAAGGGCAAGCTTATGTCTTATGGGGCCAGCTAATTGATAAATTCCGTGCTTAGAAGTATGCCTACATTCCTATTGTCCTTCTTTAAGTACCTGTCGGGGTATGAAAAAGGTTGGACTTTTATCAATCACGTTTTTTCTAGCAAAGTGATGAGAAACATGTTGGCCAAGTGAGATATAATTTGTAGGCTGAAGGACAAGGGGGCTTAGAGATTGAAAACCTTGAGGTAAAGAACATATGCCTGCTTAGTAAATGGTTATACAGACTTTCTACAGAAGACGAGGGATGTGTGGATACAAATTATTGCGTAACAAGTATTTGCAATCCAAGACCCTTGCACAAATAATGGCACAGCCAGATGATTCACCTTTTTGGAAGTGGTTGATGTGAATAAAGGTTGCCTTTTTTAATAGGACCAAATTAATTGTAGGGAACGGAAATACCAATAGGTTTTGGGAAGATACATGGCTAGGGGAGATGCCACTGTTCATACAATATCCAACCCTCTACAATATTATACAATGTAAAGAGGCAATTTGTAAGTGCAATTCTAGGATCGGTTCCTTTAAACATTGGAGATCCCCGGTGGGGGAGCGATGTAATAGATGGCTACATGTGCAGGTTGATGGATGTCAACCTTTCTGGTAAGCCAGATACACTACACTGTAAACTTTAGGTGTCAGGGGTATTCTCAGTGAAATCAATATATATAGATTTGATAAATTCTGGTCCAATCCCAAAGTTACTTCACACTTGAAAAATTAAGGTGCCTTTAAAGATAAAAGTCTTTGTGTGGTTTGTTCACAAGGAAATGATCTTGACTAAGGATAACTTGGCAAAACGTAGTTGGAAGGGTAGTAAAAGGTGTTGGTTTCTGTGATCAAGATGAATCGATCCAACATCTTTTTCTCAAATACGCACTAGCCAAGCTACTGTGGCGCACATTGTGGCCTTTAATGTAAGTCCTCCTAATACCGTTGCTATTTATTTGGGACTTGGCTAAGGGAAAACCAACATTCGGTGAAAACCGACGAAAACCATGTGAAAGTGATGTTTTGAAGCACCGAAAAAAATCTCAAAATGTTACGGGATGTTAAGAGAGTGATGTTCGACTTCCTTACAAAATTTTAAGTTCAAACACATTATGAGATATGAGATATGAAAAAAACAAAATCAGCATTAATGTTGATTTTTTTTCATAGCTTGCATCCCGCAATGTGTTTTAACTTGAAATTTCACATGGCAATAGAAGTTCATCCTCTTAACATATTACATTTTTTCAGAATTTTTTGAAACCTTCAAACATGGTTTCCACAATCTCCCCTTAGCTAAATGGGGTGGAGTCTAAAATAGCGGCGCATATTCGAATCGAAATGTGCGTATTACTTTCGGCTATATGGAACTGTTAGAATAACATGATTTTTAGCACAAAAAACATTACAATTTTTTTGCAAGTCATTTACAAAGCAACTGGCTGGATCAGAATTTGATCGTTACTCAACCGTGCGAAAATCAAAGAGCACATAGCTTAAGGCTGTATGGAAATGTCAAAATGAGGTGATTTTTAACGGACAAAACATCACAATTTTTTTTTTGCAGATCATCTATAGAACAACTGGCTAGATCCGTGCATGATCGTCACTCGAGTATATGGCTTATGGATGCAACCATTAGGAAACGGTAGCACGCGAACCGATCAGGATCGTTATCCAATAAGTGTATAATCATCTAGTCGGTTGCGGCAATGTTCTTTTCTTTTCAACTCATTTTGAGTTCTTGTGTTGTACCACATACTTGGTGGGTTCTTTGGTTAAAATATGGTTGCATGCATCATTTTGATGCAAAGTCCGGGGTAATCCTCCTATAAAAAAAAACACAAGATGCTGTTTTCGCTTCTTGCTTCCAACAGGTGCAATCAATGGATCCTCTTGCACCTTTTATCTACGTTTATTTATTGCTAATACAATTGTACAATATGTCAATCATAAATTCATGGGAACTTACAGTTACAAGCCTTACCCCTACCTGGCTACTTGTACAACATCGAAGTACAATATGAGAACACAAGGTGTCAATATATATTTTTCAGAGGGAACTGAACCACCAATCTTCTGCAAATGCGTCGCAATTTGTCCACATTTCTAGGATCAGCTCATGAAGTGCCAAAAGATGGCGCATATGGTTTACTCCCGTGGCCTCGCGAGCCAGAGAGAACTCAGGGCACGCAAACGTGAGAAATAGTCATGTATTGCAAGGAGAGCTCGAGCAGCTTGCCGTATTGTCAGAATTCTTTGCATTTGATGCAAAGTTTGTTGCCGTAGATTGTCAGCCTAGCACAAATAGAACAATAAAAACTCTTCAGAACTATGTGCATCTAATGTTTCACGGTTTGCTGAAAAGCTGCACCGACTAGGAAGTACTGAGTAACTTCTCAACAAAATTAGGTGAACCATTCCTTTCACGTTAGAGGCAATAATAACAAAATTACATGTTTGCAGGACCAGAAGGTAGAAGAAGTTTTAAATACCTGGCGAAGGAAATTCTCAAGGGTTCCAAGTTTTCCCATAGCCATAGCCATTTGACCCATGTAGTTTGCCACGTTTCCTGAAGATCCTGATGGACCAAGGGAACCAGCCAACGTTTCAGCCAAAGATTGCTGCAATGCCTCCATTCCTTGTGATAGTGCATCCTCGGCCTGGTGTGAGGATTGCTCGAGGCTGGATAACCCCATCAACTGCTGCTCTGTTAGAGGCTCGAGCTGATTTACAAGGAGCTGAAAATTTACAAGAACATGAGAAATGTTGTATCTTCAGGTATACATGAAAACGAACAACAGAACCTGAAATTCAACTAGTCAAAAGTATTTGTCAGCAGGTTTCCTTATAGATTGAGTATATAGTTTTTGCACCTTTAAAAGCTCAGACGAACGAAACCCCCCAAGCCACAAAAAACACCTTTCAGCAGGTGTTTTCCACATGCCTGAAAGTATATGAAACACATCAGCCTTTGCAGCAGCGCCCTTCAGCTTGAATATTTCGTCATAATGTGCCATTATTCCATCTACAATAAGACGGAGGTCACTATCACTTGCATGAGCATTTACTGCAGTCCTCAGCTCATTTATCTGCTTATTTTGCTCCTCTAGCCATCGAGTATATTCTAAATCAAATGTCATCGCTCCTGCAGAAACAAGCTTACTATTTTAGTTGTATTCCCAATGAACACTCGGGAGCAATTAAGCATGTTCTGTACTTTTGAGAGAACTTTTAACCAATGATTGATTAGCAGAGCATGAAAATGCAGGCGTGAGCAGACAGAGGAAGAAGTTACCATTTCCACTCATAGCATGAGTTTGATCCCCAGAGCTAGAAATGAAGATTCCCTACAAACAACATGGAAATAACAGATTTAAAGGGAGATCGACTGGACACTGCCAGCATCGGCCAATAGGTACTTACTTGCTGTCGAGCTTTCTGGAGTTCTTGTTCCAGGCTTGCAAGTTTTAGCTTACTGCTCTCAAGTTGTTGTACATACGCCTTAAAAATAATAAGATGCATTAGGATGGCTCTTAACAAATAATGAACCCAAAATTGAAGGCAAATAAGAAGTCGATAGTTACAATTCAGAGCATATGTATATATTATGCATATACTGTCAGTTATCAAGGATACAAATACATCAAGAAACAAGTCCCTTGGTGATTAGCTGATTGCCAGCTATTTGTTTGAATCAAGGGCGCCTTTGGATTATTTACTAAATTTTTTTTGTAACTGAACATGCCTATCAAGAATTTGGCAAAATTCAGTGGTATCAAAAGTGCTAGAGAACTGCTCATATACCATACACTCACTCAACAGCTCATCCACGACATCACCGCATAACTGCACCATCATGCAGTAATAGCTCCCCAATGTAAATTAATAACACAAAGTTACCTACGTTACACATGGATGGATGCATTGTTATGGTACCTTTTTCCTCAGACGACTTTTTCGTGCTGCCTCGCGATTTTGGGCAAGCCTCCGCAATACCTATGGAATAGCAAATACATTGTGTAAATACCATTTATTACTAAGGGATAAAAAACATTCTAGAAGAGTAGAATATAAAGTACCACCTTTTGGTCCATAGGCCTGTCGGACCTGTCAGACGGTTCAGATGAATTAGAAGGCACGATAGCTCCATTTTGTCCGTTTTCCATCTGCACAACTTGGTTAAGAAAAATAAGAAAATTCTGCTACATATGGAAAAAAAAGAGGTTGGCATGCAACAGCAACAAAAGCTAAATTAATAATATCTTATGAATTTCAACTGGCACCAGAACTTAACAGGCATTTCAGCAAAGAATGACACAATTTTCCGTTTTGTGTGGTTGGTTTAGAATTTGTTTATTCATCATATGGAATGTAGTAACAACTCAACGAGATTATAGATCGTTTATTAGCACCTAATAGCTAATACGTTGTTCATATCCAACATATAGGAGGCGTGCTTAGTCAGGTATGTTTTAAAAATGCAGGGGGTGATAATAAATTATCATGAACAGCCCTTCTATTTGTCAAAAAAAGGGCAAAGTATCCAAGCTATTCATGGATTTCACACTTTAATGTACTCCACACTGAATATTTCCCATCTGATGAAACTGATAGTGCAGCAGCAGTAGTCCTGTTCACTTTTGCAAGTTGATATCTAATTTAAGAAGTGTGTTGTTTCTTTAGGCACTGGAGCAAATGTGTACAACAATCTGCAGAGGGTAACATGGACATGGCAAAAGAAGCATCAAGTATTGGCATCAAAACCATCCAAGTTAAACTTGCGCGCTTCATACAAATGAAGTCTGCCACATCTTTTATCAAATACAGTACCAGTTTTCACCTGTTATTATACTTTTACACCACAACTCAGGATCGACGCATTACATACATTAATTCCAATTCTCTGCCTAGCTTTCACAAAAGCTCAAAGCAGGTGCCTAATGGATAGAGAAAAGAAGGTTTACCCTTTGATTCTTATCGTCAGTGTCCACAACTATGGATGTGTCAGTCCTCGAACTAGCATCAGCCATACCGAGGGTTTTCCAGCTCAAAACAACGGGACAACAAATCGCTTTGTTGTCCCTTTAGTTGAAGCAGGGTAATATGGGCGCCTGTATCCTTTAGGTGTCAGATCGCTCCGAGGCCAGAGCCGTCACCTATCCATCACAAGAAAAGCAAACAGATATCCATACATATTAGCATCGCGGGTAAAGGCTGTCCAGCAGTGACAAATTCAACAGTCTAAGCGCAGACATATCTTACTTTTTCAGAGTCAAATTATCTGTAGGCACGGGATCTGCAGAGAAGCACGCAAGAGATAGTGAGCTACCATGGTGCGGTGAGGAAATTCGAGGTGCCTAGGCACTTTGGCAGATCGTACCTTCCCTTATAGTAGCACAAGTAATTCCAAAAGTAAACAAGTACAGCAGGACAACAGCGGGACGGGAGATAATTCAAGGCAAAGGAAGCGGCAAGTACAGATTTTTGCTAGCTCGTAGCGTCAATAACTAAGCTTAGGCCGGCCGGCCTACCTTCCCCCCACAGCTCACAACCCAGCCAGCACGAAAGCAGCGGGAAACACCTAAGAATTCGGAATTAAGAGCCGTCTCCAGCCCGACCTCAAAGCATCTCACGAGCTCCAATCAGCAGCACCCACGCGACAATTGTATGGAATCGGAGGTGGTGCCGAGGAATCAGGCGGGAGAGAGCAGGATTAGGGCTTTCCACTTACCACGGGGGCAGTGTCTGCGGCAGGGGAGGAGGTCGAAAGGGAGGGAGGACCCGCTCGGCGTACGGATTTGGAGGAGACCGGCCGGCGGCCGGCGCCGCGTGAAGCGGAGGAGCAGAAGACGGGGTCGGGACGGCAGCGCGGAGAGAGAAGAGGAGAAGAAACTGGGGGCGGCCGGGTTGGTCAGAAGGGAGAGAGAGGGGCGTGCGTGCGCTTCTAGTCAAAGGGCTGAAACACGGCGGCTGACGGGTGGGGTCTGGGCCTACGCCAGCGGTGGGGTTTGGTAAGAAGAGTGAGAGGTCCGCGTTTGGCTTTCCTACCACCTGGGGCTGGGCCGCTCCAGCACGACTCCAATATGGACTTTCTCCGTTTCTACGGGGAAAAAGAGCCATGAAATCATATGCACGTCATAAATCGCTGTTCGTCGTCCGTTTCGGGAAACAGCTTAGCATCACTCGCCTGAAACACATTTTGGGTCATTCGATTTCGGATGAAAGAAGCAGCCGACGGAGGGAAGGAAGAAGCACGCGTCGGCGAGCTAGAAAAGCCCTCTGCGTCTATTTTTTTTTCGGGTAAAAGGAAGTTTTATTATAAAGTCACAGTGTTACAATCGAGAGGTCAAAGGTCCTCAATACATGGTGGAACCGAATGAACCCACACAGCCGTGGTTCTCTCGGTGCGGCTATAGTTTGCCAACCGATCTGCAACACTATTCTGACTCCGATGTAATTTCTGAGGTAAAAACTCTCTTTCCATCATCAAGTCTTTAATCTCCAGTATCAAATGCCCATATACTGATTTGGTGAGATCATCATTCGCCAATATTGAAAGAGCAGTCGCCGAGTCCGACTGCACCACCACCGGAAGAACTGTGTGTTGAATAGCCAAGGCCATACCCTGCATGATAGCATGGATCTCCGCCTCCAATGCATCATTACAATTAAACATGTAACGATAAGCCGCTAGTAACACCGTACCTGATCCATCTCTCAACACGATTCCGGTTGCTGCTGACCCATCTTCCTGTCGGAAGGACCCATCAACAGAGAGCGCGGCGGTCCCCGTCTTAGGAGCCGGCCATGGTGGCGCTGGTTGTTTGATCTGAGTGTCGGTCTTCTGCTCCGAGACCGACATTTTACCTTTTTATTATTTCTTCCGTGGTAAGCGACTAGCGAGCCGAATGGATTTGTAGTAACTATCCAGATACTCCACTGTTGCCGCCGCTACTGGCACCTCCTTGCCATGTGAGCAGTTATTCCGCAGCTGCCAGCTGCCATATCCTCCACAGCAGCATGATCACCATGTCACGAACCCGATCCGAACATTGCGTGAGCAAATTCAGGAGCCATTCCTTGCCAGTATTGATCAGAATATTATCCGAAGGGAGAGGCCACCTTTCCCGCATGTGTGTCCACAGGGTACGTGCATGATCGCATGTGATTAAGGCATGGAACTCATTCTCCTCCTCCACCCCACATAGCGGGCAACTAGACCGCTTAGAAACATGTCTGTACTTCTTGCATGTTGCCGTCGGCAAAGCCCCTACCACCACTTTCCAAATCGCTATCTTCATCTTTTGTGGCACCGATGATTTCCAAACACAGTTCCATATTGATCTTGTGCCATTTGGTACGTCTGAAGATGACCCCCCTGCGTAGGCAGCATCATGAGCACTTGTAGCCAATTTATAGGCACTCTTTACTGAAAATCTTCCATTCTTCTCCGGGAACCATGAGATAAAATCGCAATGTTGCCTCGGGGACGTTCTTATTTTCAGTATGTGATCAACATCCATTTGCCAAAAATGCTGTGACAACCTATCCATCCTCCATGCACCATTCCCGTCCAAAAAGTCAGAGACTCGATTTAGGCGGGACGTGCGCTTTGGAGTTATAGGTCTGAACGAAGATGCTCTCGGTATCCATGGATCCCTCCAGGTTCTTATACTTGAACCATTACCCACTCACCAAATAACTCCTGTCTTTAGTAACTCGAGGCCATGTCATATACCCTTCCAGACCGCCGACCCCTGGTTAGGGAAAACCGTATCTAAAAGGTTGCCTGAGGGAAAGTACTTGGACTTCAACAATCTGGCACATAGACTTTCCGGAGTATCAATGAGACGCTAAGCTTGCTTAGCAAGAAGCGCCTGGTTAAACGCTCTCATATCTCTGAACCCCATACCACCCATTGACTTTGGTAACCTCATTTTATCCCAACTGAGCCACGCCATCTTGTTTTTTCCATTCTCAATACCCCACCAGTACTGACGCATAAGCCGGGTTTTAACTCGTCACACACTGAAGCTGGGAGTTTAAAAACACTCATGACATAAGCTGGGATCGCCTGGGCAACTGATTTTATCAGGATTTCCTTATTACCAGATGACATATACTGTTTGCTCCAGTCAATCAATCTCTTCCTTAATCTATCTTGTACCATTTCAAACTTTCCTTTGTTCATTCTACCTTCAGGCACCGGCAAACCAAGGTATTTAGGCTCAAAAACCTCTTCTTCAATTTCCAGAATTCTCTTCACTTCATCCACCACCGCAGATAAGCAGGATTCTGAGAAAAGGATGGAACACTTTGCTGGATTAATTAGCTGGCCCGTGGCCAACGCATAGATGTTCAATAAACCTTTCACCATGTGTGCCTGTTGTTCTGAAGCTTCAAAAAACAAAAGTGAATCATCTGCAAATAGTAGATGAGAAATCTCCGGGGCCCTTCTACAAATCTTCACCCCTCTAAAACCATCCTCATTCATCGCTTTATTTAACAGAGCCGATAATGCATCAGCAATGAATAGGAAAAGGAAAGGGGACAACGGGTCACCTTGACGTAGCCCTCTCGACGGGGTGAAAGACTCTAAGATCTTGCCATTGAACTTCACCGAATATGTTACGGAGGAGACACATGCCATAACTCGGGCAATCCAAGCAGGTGAAAAAACCCATTTGTGTAAGGCCTTCTCCAAAAAAAACCAATCGACTCGGTCATATGCTTTAGATAAATCGAGCTTGTAGACACAAAAAGCAGGGTCATTTTCCTTTAGAGACTGAATATGATGTATGCATTCGAAAGCAATTATTGAATTGTCTGTGATAAGTCTCCCGGGAACAAAAGCACTCTGATTTTCAAAGATCAACTCCCCCAGTAGGGGTCTCAACCTATTCACCATACAAACAATTTTATAAACCACATTGCACAGACTGATTGGGCGAAAATCTTTCAATTCTTGTGGGTGCTGAATCTTCGGGATCAACACGATCGCCATTTCATTAACCCCCTCGGGCATAGTACCACTCACAAAGAATTTTTGTACTGCACCAATGATGTCCTTTTTCAAATCGTTCCAGTTTCTCTGGTAAAACTGGGCCGGAAAGCCATCAACACCCGGGGCTTTTAGTGGTCCGATTTGGAATAACGCATCCGAGATCTCCACTTCTGAATATGGAGCATCAAGAGCCATGTTCATTTCTTGGCTGACCTTGGGAAGAATACAGTCCAGAACCACAGAATAATCAAGGGTAGGATCCTTAGTATAGACTTCCTAAAAATATGAGGACGCCATTCTCTCCATATCAGTTGGTGCATTACACCAAGTCCCATCTGCTCTACATAGACGTTGGATATAATTCCTCCGCGCCCTCCACACTGCCCGGCGATGGAGATACTTAGTATTGCGTTCCCCCTCCTTAAGCCACGTGATACGTGACCTTTGGAGCCACATCATCTCCTCCCGGTAGAGGAGCTCATCAAGTTGGTTCATCTTGAGCTGAATTTGAGATCGATCAGCCCCATCCAACTGTAACTTCGCTAGCTGACCTCGCAATGCCTCTATCTCCTTTAACACGTTGCCAAAATTTGCCCTACTCCATGCCTTTAGATCCTTCATGAGCTTTTTCAAAGCTTCGGCGACCGAACCCAGATTGCCTAGTTGAGGATTTCCAGCCCATGATCGCGACACCACCTCTGCCAGAGCCGGGTGTCTTTCCCACATAATTTCATAACGTGGTGCTTGTCCACGTTGCTTTGCCATCTGAACCCCACCCATGCGGATTAGGACTGGGCTATGGTCAGAGCACGGTGTTGCTAGATGGACCACCTGTGTAGAAGGGAAGAGGTCACGCCACGCCTCATCCGCACAAGCGCGATCCAGTCTAACTTGCACATTACGATTTCCTTCCTGTCCATTATTGTATGTGTAAGGAATGCCTGAAAATCCCAGGTCTTCTAGTTCACATAGCAGCAAGCAGTCCCTGAAGGCTAGCATTTGCGTTTCTGAGCTCAGCGTCCTAGA